AAAGAAAGAAAGAAAGAAAGAAAGAAAGAAAGAAAGAAAGAAAGAAAGAAAGAAAGAAAGAAAAGGAGGGAGGTAGATCTTTTCCAAAAGGAAAGGGGACTGAGATGGAGGGAATAGGGAAGGAGGGAAAGGGATGAAAAAAGAATTAAGATGTGTTTGGTACCTGTGCCAACTGCACGCAAGGAACGTCATCACTGTGCACTGCTAAGAAAGTCATGTACTCATAAGAATTAAAATTTTACAAAGATGAACGAATTCTGTGAAAAAGAAATCAGCAGCACCTGCCTTGGTCCGGACCCCCGTCCTCCCGCCCCCCAGGACCTCCTGCCTGCTGCACGTGGAGCCCCGGTTTCCATCCCCTTCCGAGACTCACCTCACGCACGGCCCTGTCCCCCTGCCGGCGCCCTCCTGGCACCCGGGGGTCCGCCCTCCGCTCCCCGCCCTCAGCCACACCGGGCCCCCATCGCTGCTCTGCGGCCTCCACACGGCAGTCTTCATCCCTGGGTGGGAGGCTGATTACCAGTCAGTAACGATCGCGGGTGAGTCATCACCGCCCGTTCCCACGCCCGTGGCGATGCTGCCGCGCAGTGCGCTGCGCGGGACACTGGTGCAAGCAAGCCCGTGCCGCCTCTCCCTCCTCTCACTGCGGGCGGCCGGAACCTTGCGTGAGTCTGTGTGGGAGGCTGCACAGGGGCCAGGCTGTGTTCACTTAGCCCAGTGACCTGGGAACGAGGAAAAGAGGCCCTTGAAAGCCAGGAAGCTGCTGGGGCGAGTTTGGCTTCTCCGTCAAAAAAGAAAATGAAATGAAACCACCGCCACCACTCAGGCTGGCCTGAGCTCTGTGCTTTGTTTTGGTTGTTTTCTTAATAAATTTGGTTTGTTTTGGGGGGGTTTTTTTGAGACAAGGTCTTCCTATGTTGCTCAGGCTGGCTTTGCACTCACTGTGTGGCCCGGGCTGGCCGGGAACTCAAGGAGATCCTCCTGCCTCAGCCTCCCAAGTGCTGGGATCACAGGCTGGGCTGAGCTCTACGAGTCCGGCTGTGATTTCTGCATATACTGGCTCCTTCTTTGCTCTCCTGTCCCAAACTTGAGGGCCCGGCTGAGCCTGTCATCAAACCTGCCCAGGGCACTGAGCCTGCAGCCTGCGCCCACCGACTGCCCCAACCTGTTTCCTGTCATTCACTCCTCCAAACATCTGGGCAGGAGAGGCCGCCCTGGCTCCACACAGCTCAAAGGCACCTGCTCTGACCCGGAGAAGCTTAAACACCCTGTCTCAAAAAACCCCAAATAAAAAAGAATTTAAAGACTGTGTTTGCAAAGGATCTAGCACTGTGCCTATCACACAGGGGCTGTTCGTCAAGAGGAATTCTTACAAACTGGGGCCAAGCATTCACCATGCGACTCAAGGTGGGTGGCCAGGTGGGGACACCTGTGGATGGACAGCTTCAAGATGAAAAGTGCACCATGAAGCGCTGCTGGGATTCTGCCTCTGGGAGGGAAGCAACAGAGGACCCCAGAGGCCCGTTTTTGTTTGTTCACTTTGTTTTGTTTTGTTTTTGGTACTGGGGATTGAACCAAGGGGCTCTGCTCGAACTTCAGATCCTCCTGCCTCAGTTTCCCATAGTGCTGGTGATTACAGGTGGGCACCACCACACCAGGCTCCAAATGTCTTTGTCAAAACCCCCTACCAGTCAAGGCTCCCAAAAGTCTTTCAGCAAACAAAAGGGAGAACCCGAGTTCCCCACTGCTGTGCTGGTCCAGAGAAAGCTAGGGTTGCTAAGCCACTCGCCCTCCTGGCCTGGGTTCCGTAACTCTGCCTCCCGACGTAGGTCCAAGTTGCTCATTAAATCACACATTTCAATATTCATGTTTTTGCATGAGCTAGACCAGAATCCCAAAGTTAGTCATGTCTCCCAAGGATTACCAAAACCCCTAATTTCTGTCCTCCTTCCTATAATATTGTATAGGAAAATTGATTTTGATAAATGCATTTTTTAATTGCACATGTTTTCGAGAGCATAGCCCTAAGCCAGGTGTGGTGGTACACACCTGTAATCCTAGTACTCAGGAGGCTGAGTCAGGAGGATCGCCTTGAGTTCCAGACTAGCCTGAGCCACACAGCAAGACCCCTGACTCAAAACAAAAGCAAAACAAACAAACAAATAAACAAAACATAGCTGTAGAGTATGTTAAGGAATGTCTTTTATACCAAAATGACAACTGTTGCCTTACCTTTGGCCAAATTATACATGTGCTTAATCCTACTTCCTAAATTACTTGTGACCTAGCACAAGATATGTCTCTCCCTGAGCCTCATCCATACCCTGCCTGCTTTTTGGTTTTTGAGACAGGGTCTCGCTATGTAATTCAGACCGATGTTGAATTCCCTATGTAGCCAAGGCTGGCCTTGACCTCCCAGGGATCTTCCTGCCTCAGCCTCCAGAGTGCTGGGATTACAGGCGTGCCCACCGTTTGACATTCCCTCCATATGAATCCACAGGACAACTTTTGTGTTAGCTGCTTTTCTGGGCCCTGGGTACACAGGGAGCAAAATGAATAAGTCAGCGTGGCGTATGGGAAGCCAGTCACAAAATTCTGTGCTCTGGTCATTGAGCTCGGAAGAGAATGAAGCCGAGCAGGGTGACTGCCCTGGAGCTGCCATGTGGCCCTGTGAGGAAGCCTAGCTCCCCTGGTCCCCTCAGTGTCCCAGGCCCTGACAGTGGGTGCAGGGCCACACCCACTTCCCTGGCCGTCAGGTGTTTGTCCTTCCTCGGGGTTGGTAGGGGCCCTTGGGATGTTTTTCTCAGTTTTCCGAAACTGTCCCTGAGCCCGCTGTCAACCGCCACCTGGAGACCACTGGAAGCTGCCGTCTTCTCCTTCATCTCCTTCTCCTTTCCCTCTACCAGGCCCCGCCCCAGACCCTGCAAGCAGTCACCGCTCCCAGCTAAGAAGCAGCACCTCCAACCTCTGCATCCCCACCTGCCAGGCCCTAGATTCTGCCCTGAGAGCCGGGTCCTCAGGCGCATTCTCTGCTCCGCTTCGGTTTCTCCCCACCCATTCTCCCTGGCAGCTCCACAAAACAGGCCTTTTCCAGGCAACCAATTCTACACCCAAGAATCAGTTCCCTTCTCACCTGGGTCCTCAGGACCTTTTTCTTGTTTTTGTTCTTTTCAGGCAGGGATTTGCTATGTAGCCCAGGCTGGCCTTGAACTCACTGTGTTGCCTCAAACTCATGGCAATCCTCCTGCCTCAGCCTCCTGAGTGCGTGCACTGTCGTGCCCAGCCTCAGAATCTTTCGTTCCATGAAACTCTTTCCTCCTCAGGCCTCTAGGACCCTAACCGCACCTCATTTGCCGTGACCTCTGGCTGCTCCTTCTCGGTGACCTTCGCTGCCTCCTCGTTTTCCTGACCCCAAATTCCCTGGAGCGCCCGCCTCCTTTGCCTCTTTCTCCACCCTCCCAGGGGCCTGTGGAGGCTGCTGAGAGAGCATGGAATGTACCACCGATGGTCACCCAGGCCTGCAGCTTTCCACAGAGGATGGTTCTCCTCAGGGTGTTCCAGCCAGACCATCACCCCAAGTGCCGCTGTGAACCCCCAAATGCACATTCTGCTGTTCCTATGGGATGTGGCACACGGCAAGCTCCGCCCCCCCAAACCTGCTTCTGCCTCCTCAAAGGCACTCAGTGCTTCCGGCTGCAGGGCTGGAAAGGCTGGTGCCTTCTCCCTTGCCTCAGCTTCTCCAATGCCCACCTGCGACCTGTCAGCCCTGGCAGCTCCCTCAGGTGTCTGGAATCTGCCCACCTGTCACTCCTGCTGCTAGCACGGGTCCCTGCCTCTGTTGCCTCTCTGGGCTACTGCAGCATCCCTTGTGGTCTCCCCAGCTGCCCTTGCTGCCTGCCCCTTGTCCTCAGCGCAGCGTGTCCGATTCTGTCACCACTCTGGCTCCCAGTCAGAGCCACTGTGCTCTCAGTCTGGTCTTCTCTCTCCTGCTGTCTTAGCAGAGTTTGCTATGTAGCTCAGGCTGGCCTCGAACTCACTATGTAGCCCAAGCTGACCTGAACTCATGGCCTCAGCCTCCCGAGTGCTTCGATCACTGTCATGCACCACCACACCCGGCTTCCTTTCTCTCCTTTCAGGTCTTCGCTTAAATGCCACATTCCCAGTGATGCTTGCTTTGCTCACCTTGTAAAATAGGAACTCCTTTCCACTTCCGTGTCTTATTTTTGTCCTTCACTCTCTGCCACCTGACTCGCTATGCATCGTACCTGTCCCCTGTTAGACCGTGAGCAACACAGGACAGGGACACCGAGGGGCTGACCCCAGTGGCCTGGATGCCTGGAGTGATGGCAGCCCGGGGTGGAGTCCCAGTCCTGCCTGTGGTTCGTTCAGGGCCGGGCCTGGGGT